GCGTGCCTGGAGCCCGGGCTGTGGTTGCCAGGGCCTGCTCCACGGCAGCGTGGTGCTGGGGGGAGAGGCCTCCCTGGGTTGCACCGTATCCAACCCTGCTCAGCCTCTCTGCACCCTTGTGTTCCAGCTGATGCACAAGCTGAGCGTGGAGGCCCCGCCCAAGATTCTGGTGGAGAGATACCTCATCGAAATTGCCAAGAACTACAGTGTGCCCTATGAGCCCGACTCGGTGGTGATGGTGAGGGAGGCACTGCTAGCCTGGAGCTCCCTTCTGTGTGCTGATGGCTGCAGTGTCCCATTGGCCCTGTACGGGCTTTTGGAGCACAGGGCTGCAGCATTTCTGCGAGCTCTGTGGTGCCTGTGCTTTGCTGTCTCCCAGACAGCCGTGACACGGTGCTGTCCCTGCTCCTTCCCACAGCCCTGCAGCGTGTAGCCGTAGTTAGTGGTGCTGTGTTCTGTTCCCTTTCTGATTCCCGGCACTATCACTGTGTAGCTGCTGTCTGTCTGTCTTGTCCCTGTTTTGCTGTGTCCTTGTGTTGTCCTGTCTTGTCCGGTGGCAAATGTTGCATCTAATGCTGCTCAGAGCACTGTGATCAAAACAGAGACGTGTTGCTGAGCAGGATCCTCCCACCCTCTCCAGGCTGAAGCCCCAGCAGGTGGAGAGGGTGATCTGATTGACGTGGGATTCACAGATGATGTAAAGAAGGGTGGCCCTGGAGGGGGAGGAGGTGGTGGCTTTACAGCCCCACTGCTCAGTCATGATGGAATAGTACCCATGCCAGTGATGATGCCTATGCCCATGCCAACACCAAACCCACCCTTCTCCTATCCACCTCCAAAGGGACCGGTAAGTGCCTTTTCTTCTTCCCTTGTTCTGTGCAAGACTCCAGTCGTGGTGCATAGCCCTGTGCCTGCTGGCTGGGGAGTGCCCGTGCCTGGTAGTGTGGTGTGACAAAGAAGGCTGTTGTGTTGGCATGAGACCATGTGGGATGGAAATTGTTGGTAGTGCAGCTGAAGCTTCTTGAGTGTGGAGGTTCCTGCCCCCCCTGTTCTCTAGCTAGCCCTTTTTGCCTTCAGGGAACAGAGGAGGCTAGACTGAACTCCTGAGGCAGTCTCTGACTGCCAGGCTTTGGCCAGGGGTTGGAGCTGCACTTTGAAGTTGGTAGGTTGGTAATGTGCCAAGATTCGGTCAAGAAAATCAGGTGAGTTTTGCAGGGTGGGGACAGCAGAGAAAATGTGGAAACATCTCGACTTCAGACCTGACCTGAAAACAGCAGGGTGCTCTGAATTCAGTTGCTTACAGGGAGTGAGTCCAGTCTGGAGAGCAGCAGAGGGTGGCATGGCTTGGAATCTTAATGCAGTTGCAGCAATGCTTCAGTATTTGTGGTGGAAAATCTGGGCCAAGTATCATCAACTGGCTGCTGGCCCAGGCATAAACACGCTGAGGGCTCTGCCAGGCTGGGTGTTGAGGCAGGGGCAGCGTGGGGGTGGCCTGAGCCAGGGGCCCCCTTGGTGTCCGGGCTGTGCGCCATGCGGGTGCTGCCCTCCTGTCCTGGTGCTTCTCGTGTCCCCAGAGGTGAGCTCCTTACTCACGCTGGTCCTTTAGAATAACCCACAGTCCTACTAGCAGGTTCTGGGTTGCTCCAGGTGACTACATCTGACTTAATCCTTGAGAATCTTTTCCTAGTGAGTGTAGACTGCTGGGTTGGATGCTTGCCTGCATTCATCCTGGACTGCAGCTTTCTCTGGTGTCTGTAGCAGCTGTGGGTGTGTCCCATAGCCACTCTCCCAGGTGAGTAGGCTGGTGCATGACTCTAATCTCTCTGTACAGGAGAACTTCAATGGCCTGCCAGTGGGGACCTACCAGCCTTTCACTAATATCCATCCACCACCAGTTCCAGCAAATCCACCAGCGTATGAATCTGTAAGTGCCTGAGCTAACTCAGCATTGTAGGCAACGGAGGGAACCTCAGAATTCAGTGGCTGCCATAGAAAAGACAAATGTTTACTGAGCGTCACTGTTGTCAGCCTCTGGAGCTTTTGGGGTGGTGCTTGGCGTTGCTTGTAGGTGTGATGGCATCATCGTCATGTGATGGGAGAATGACTTGTGAGAAGTTCCTTGTTCAGCTGTGTGCTTTGGCTGCAAAGGAAAGCTGAGATTTTATCACCGTTTTAACAGTGCAGTAAAATAACAGTGAACAAGCAGAATTCACAAATTCTGTTTCTTGCAGTGTGAAGGGTTTATCCCCTTCAGTCTCTTTAACTATGGCTTTTGAACTAATTCATAGTAGGCCCGGATGAAACTTTTGGCTGACCCAGATGTTTAAACGCTCTTCACA